GCGGCCCTATCATTTTTCCAGAATAAATCACACTTGAAAAGTTGAAATAGTAGAACGGTAAAATAGATCATGCACTAAGTCCGGTTGATCGTAACAACAATCGTATATGATTATCTATTTATTATAAAATAAATATGATGGTCACTATGGAATTCATATGTGAGTGTGACTCAAGTTTTTAGAATTAGAAATTTAGGTTCCAGAAATATAGGAGAATAATGGAGAATAATTTAGAATTAAAAAATTATTTCTCAGAAAAAAATATGGGAGAATAATGACACTAGATTTTCTATGAGTGTAAGAAATTATGTACACAAATAATAAAAGCAGACATATTTGAGTAGTTAGAGTGAATTAATTGTGCCTAGTGGTAGTATTTTTATTTATTGTAAGACGCTCCTCGTTGTCATTTATCTAAGGGTGAATTTGTGAACTAGCTATATTGGAGATAAAAATTAAGAATATAGTTATGAAAAAAAAAAGAAAGAGACTAACTAAATGACTTAAAAGAGTTTTCAATTTTGTCTTTTTCAATTTTCAAACCATGTCCAGTTGTCCACCGTCATGATAGAGAAACCACCGCTCATGTCGGAGCTACGACCACGATTATGAATTCTTTCTCCGCCGTAATCAAGATCTCATCCACCGTTGTTATCATGACTTACGATGCACGTGACCGCATCGACGGAGAGATTCGATACAATCGACCACGAAAGATGCGTCACCATATTTAGCATCATCAGAGGCTGATCGGAGGCGAACGCATCCATTTTGGTGATGACGGTTCATGGGTTCGAAAAAAAAAACGAACATAGACACATGTATGATTAAGATACAAAAGGTTTGGTCTTTGTTTTGTTGATGTTGTTTTGAGAGAGAATCTTTGGTCTGAGGAGATTGAGAAAATGGAGTTTGCTTTTAGGGTCAGTTCTGCAAACGACCGTCGCTGGTGGATCTCCGGCAAGAAGATTAACATCACACGGTTTCTCTACTCTCGTGGCAATCAAGGGCAAAAGTGTCAATATTACATAGTACACATTTTATTCTAATCAATCTATTCATATGGTTATTTATCCAATTATAAATTGTTTGATAGCTCAAAGCGTGAAAATTTTGTTTGATAGCTAGTGTAGTTAATTTTCCTTTATTTAAATGGATTTATATCTATTGCGCCGAATCAATTTATTATTTGTGGTTGTGGTGGAGTAGTCCAATTATACTTATATACTATATATAATCATATTTTTGTTGAAGACTATCTAATGTTTACGAAATTTAATGCAAGTTTTTTTAGTATTATTAAAGGAAAGAAAAGGATCAGTCGCTCATACAGTGGAGTTTTGGAATGAATTGTGAAAGAGCATTCCATAATTTTCATGAGTAATGTAATATAAAAAAAAAAATCGATTGTACGTGTATTGACATCACCGATGCTACACTCATTATGTTCTTACGTTCAGTATATTGTAGCAAACATTGCATCCTATAATCATCAGTCATTTGGTCCCGCTTTTCCCAGCTCGACCGGCAAGAGCTTGAGTACCCGTGGTGCATCCCTTGATGACCGTAAAAGACTTTAATGATCGTAATGAGAATCATCTAAATGATATCAATACGGCAAAATATCCCTCTCATAAAGAGCTTGGCAATAAACAAAATCATGCTAGTATACAGTTAAATATGAATACTGTGTGACGATGACTATTCTAAGCTTAGCTGACAATGTTTTGGTAGAAAGGGAGAGGCATTTAGTGTGTAGGAAATTGCAGTTGAAAAACATGATAATGATGGAAAGAAATATGGAAGAGAGATTGATAATGTGATTTATGGATCATCATAAGCATTTGAAATTTTTTTTTTTTTTTAAAGGACTTTCATTAAATAATAAAGTTAAAAGAACCAGACAACTAATTTAAAAACGTAAAATCATAAAACAGAAGTGT